TGTTAAAGTGTCTTTTCTGAAATTCCCCCTTTTTCTGTGTTCCATAATTTTAAACCCTGCTGTGACCCATGAAATTTCCTGGAATCTCATTTAAAAATTTGTTTGCAGGTACAGTACATAAACTTTTTTTTTCACACCTATTTTTTGTTATTAGCATTCTGTCTCCTCTATGTCTGCACCTAAAACCAACCTAAATATTTTCTTAGAAGATGGTGTTTAACAGGATGTAAGTCATATATTAGTTTTGTAAGAAAACATACATTTTCTAGTACTCCAGCCATAAAAACCACCTACCTCCAAGACCTGTTTCCAATCTCCTGCAGAACACCTTTTCCAGAATCATAAATGCACTCATCTGGAAGGAAAGACCAGGAAGGCGACGACAGGGTGTTGCCTCTTATGTGACAGGGGAGTTGGAATGCCTGGAGCTCTGTTTTGGGGTAAGGGATCAGGGAAGAACTTGGGGATGAGGAAGGAGCCTCCCATTCACAGGTCCTGGTCCTCGGGAGGAATGTCATCAACCCCACTATTTGCTGAAGGGACAACACAGAGATCCAGGAGATTCCTGGGGCACACTGACAACAGCTTCCTAACACAGCAGTCTCCAAGGCACTCCACTGAACCTGATCCTTAGAAACATGGAAGGACTGCCTGGGAATGTGAAGATTGATGGCAGCCTGCCTTGGCTTCAGTGACCATGAGAGGGTGGAGTTCAGGAGAGGGGGAGGAACGAGGCAAAAAGCAGGATCACAATGTTGGACTTGAGGAAAGAAGTCTGTTTGTGGGACTGCTTGGGACACGGGACACAACCCTAGAAAGAAGGTTCCAAAAGAGCTGGTTCCTACTCAGGGATTATCTCCTCCAACCTCAGCAATGGTTCATTGTGACAAGCAGGAAGTCAAGCAAAGGCAGCAGGAGGCCTGCATGGGTGAACAAGAAGCTCCTCACTAAACTCCAACATAAAAAGGATGTGGAAGCACCACCTTCAAAAACAAGGAGGCAGACACACCCAAGTCTGCATCCTGGTGTATAGGAATTTGTGTGATATCTGGGTCCAATGTATTAAAAAAAAACCCAAAGTAACATGCAATATTAATCACAATAAAAATAAATTCCCTCTAAATTAAGAGGGAAGAAACAAGCCCAAAACCTCACGTTTACCTTTCCTGTCCTTATGTAACTGCACTTTAAGTCTTTTCCTCATAATTTGAAGCTGTACAATTTAAATGTGACATTTGTACAGCTACTCACATAAAAAGTTCCCCAAATATCAACAGTTACAGAAATAAATAAATGTAATAACACCTAACACAGCAATGATTTTATTTAAGTTATCATTCCCTTTAATCCCATCTGGGTGTTATTGCATGACCTAGTGAAGTTTCTTTGGATCATTACGTGCTGATCTGTCAATGTTTTCTTCAGTATAAGCTTCCTCTCTTACCTTTCTAAAACACCACTTAAAAAGGAGCCTATCTGACCTGCTTTTTTACACCCAAAACTGTTATTTGAAGTGAAATTACAGTACTAACCTAATTCATTTCCAATCACGACTCTCTGCAATAACAGTAATAGTGCTAAATATAATAAGCACATTAAAGTAACTTTTTCAATAAAAATTTAGAAGATTTTTCCCTAAAAAAAAAAATGGCAGAACAGAAACAAGGGTTTCCAAAAGAAAATGATTTTGGTGTTTTTAAAGCAACTATAGATTTGTTAAGTTAGAAGAAGTCAGTTGCCAAAAGAAAAAAAAAAGAGTTTATTTTAAAAAGAAGGATCACACCACATCAACAACATTGTTCTTTAAAAAACCAGCCTGTTTAAGTTCCAGAAAGGGATGATGATGGGAAAAAATGTGTATAACCACAACTAGAATTTTCCAGCAGTAATGCAGTATTTCTTCAAATGTGACTGTGTGGTAAATCAGAGAAACAGCAAAGTATGATCCAGTTCTTAGTGAATCATCCAAACCAGTTGTCTGCAGATAGACCAAACATCAGAAGTCTTATCAGCTTAACAATCTGTCCAAAGAATCAAGTTCCTACTCAGAGCATTAGAACCCAGTCACAATCTTCCCTTCACAAATTAAGTGTTCCCTCACTGTTCTGCAAATAAGAGAACATCACCTACTAAGCAGGAATGTTCATTTCACTATTGATGGATTTTCACTGTAGTAAAAATTAGGGTTTAGTAGTTTTAAAATGCAGCCTTTGTTCATTTCTATAACATATTGTAATGTGGCTACAGCAAAATTTCAGACTTACAGGATTAAAATGACCCCTAATTCTGCATTATAGTCAAAAACATTTATTACCTACTAGCTCTAAATGTCTTGAAAATATGTAGCACCTCACATCTAGAGGAGCTGGTGTTAAAAGTTGGGATGAACATATATATATGACCATGTGATCAAAAAAGTGACTGACACACCAACAAAGAAAATATAAAAGTCAGACATACATTTGCACCTGCTTCTTTCCTGTCTAAAACAAGCAAGGAATTATAAGGCTAACATGGCAACTTTATGGTTGCAACACTGCACACAAGTCAAACCCCCTAAAATTACACTTCCCACAGCAATTTTAACTCAGCTCCAATTCATAAGCAAAGAAGTTAGAAATAAAGTATGTTATTTTGCCTCTTAAATACTAAAAACACTGAATCAGGAATGTGGGAATCATAACTCCAATTTTACTAGCTTATATGAATTCAAGATCTCAAAGAGACCATTGCATTAAATATCCAAATAACTCTGTAATACTAGTTAATACCAATTTGTTTATTCTATTTATGAACCCACTGCTGCCCCTTTACTGTCTCTGGTTGTTGTAGTAACATATGGAAACAACATTAAGAATGTGAAAATACTATGTGGTCTGTTCAATCCTGATTTTTTAAAAGCTAATTATATTTAGATGAAACACAGAACTTTTTACTTTTTGGTTTTACACAAGTACAAATGTGGCAATGCTCCATTGTCATCCATTGGTTAAATGCTAACACTATACCAAAGACTTGGAATTCTGTCTCCCATGATTAGGAATAATAATTATCACTATTAGTTACAATTCTTCCTTACTCAAGCCATTCTCTGATTCTATGATTCTATATCAAAAAAACCCTGAAAATATATTTTATTGAAGCAATTTTGTGACAACAAAACCCTGAAAACACAATTGTTATCCTTGACTGAGGCAGAAATCAGTAGAAAAAGATGAAAAAAAAATTACTGGCTTAGTTGACAAAGATTAATGAAATCTTCTCTCAGAACTAAGCATAATAAATTCACAGAAAAGAAAAGAGTCTTATCTAAATATGAGACCTTGTTAAAAATGCAATTAACTGACTGGCTCTATTACCTCCAAAGCAGCTTTTGAGAATTCCCTTTGTCACAAGTGCTGGAAGTCAGTTAATTAGTAAATATAAAGGTGAATGATATAATGAATGTTCATGTAAAAGCCAGTTAGAACCATCTCCTGAGGCCTTTGTTTTATTCATTATACTCAAATATTAACATAGCAATTTCATTTAAAAGGAATTAAGTCAGTGCACACCTACAGCTTTGGATGCCAAAATCAGTTCTGTTGGAAACCTTATCCTGAGAGTTCCCAAAGCCATGCCAGAGTCACCACTGCAGTCTGCTTTTAAGTTTTTCAAGTCAACAGCACTAATACCCAGCTGTTTCTACTGGGAAAGGAAAAGCCAGCAAGACAGACATCTGTTCTAGGGAGCTGCCAGGTCTGCTCAGTGTGTGGCCACAGGTGCTGACCCTCGTGTTGCAGGAGCCAAAGGAGCAAGACAAAAGAAACTTCAAGCTGTACTAAAAGAAGACATCCAATATTCAGGTCTCATGAAAGGAACTTTAACAGTCAGCTCTCAGAAGCATGACTAACTTTCCTGCTCTGGTTTGATTCTGTCTGTATCCAGAAGGCAACAAGAGGAAGTGCTTGAGCATTTCTACAGAGTAAATTAAAGGTTATGACTCTTATATTGCTGTTTTTGAAAACTCTAGTACCTGACTGAAAGAGTTATGACAGACTGATACTTGTAAACCTCAGTAACATTTCCACTATTTAAGTACTTCTGCTTGAAGAGCAGAGTAAAAGCATTAAAACATCAAATCCACTATTGTTCGTGATGATCAAAAACATTAGCCAGTATCAGCAGGTTTTTAAGCAAAATCAGGAGGTTTTTAAGCAAACCTTACTTTTATATCATAGCTAAGCAAACATTTCTTCCTGTAAGATGTTACACATAAAAAATGAAGAATCAGTACTACATGATTTTATTACTGTAAATCCTAAGATGTACTGCCACCAGGAATTCAATACAAATTACTAGAGCAACCCAAAAGTAGAAAAAGGAAACAACGCAGTAGCAATTAAAATCCATCCCCAGCAGCAAAAAAAATTAAGTGAAGATGAATTACCAACAGAAACTTCTGAAATGTTGAAATTTTGTTTGACCTGCTATAACACTGGGAGATGACAGAAAATTTCAATGGAAAAATCTGTCTTGTATGTGAGATTTCACACATGTATTTAATGAATGATGTTAACTTCAACAATGGAAGCAATTTTCATTACATCGTCTAGCATCTAATGACACTTTACAAGTTTTTATTATGCAACACAAACTGGTCCATATTCAGGTTAGGTGACCCACCATAAATAATTGGCTACTTCAGAACACCCTAAGTCATGCTGTTAAACACATTCATCATAGAAAGTGTTTTTCTTTTCATCCATTTTATGAAATATATCATAAGAAGGATGAGTGATCCCAGTTACAACAATGTACTTAGGCAAGAGAGGTTTTAAACCTGTATTCCCAGTAATGTCAAGAATCAGACTCTGATCTTAAAACCTTAGAAATTCTTTAAATTCAAAGGGCTTTGGAGCAGGCCTATAGATACTTAAAAAAATATTTGTTGGACATAAACATACTCCATACAAAACCCCCCTCAAAAATAAAGTAAGATACTACAAGAAAGAAATTACCTGGAGTGTCTTGTAATGATCTTGGTGTGGTACTTTTTCTTTTTTTTCCTTCAGGAAATCCATTTCTAAAACACTATGTTTTTCCAGCAAATATTCTAATTCCTATAATGTTTGCAAAATAAAATACATGAAATTACAAACATTTGAGGATTGTGAAAACACAGATTCAGTTAATAATTCCAACTAATTTAATTTCTGAAGTGCTATGACACTTTATATCATAATTTACACAGAGATTAAGGGTTGTGCAAGAAAACTCTCATTGGAGGTTTTAGATTGAGACAATATTTTAAAGAAGTTTAAGGTATTTAAAAGCCAAGGCATGTCCTATGTATGAGGAATGTCCTGTGGGAAGTGGCCAAGGTCACTGGGATTGTCTGGGAGAGAAGGAGATTAAGGGGTGTCCTCCTTGCTCTCCACAGCTTCCTGAGGAGAGGAAGTGGAGAGGGAGGTGCTGGTCTCTTCTCCCTGGTATCCAGTGACAGGATTTATGGGAATGGCTCAAAGTGGCATCAGGTGAGTTTTAGAGTGAACACTGTGAAGCATTTCTTTACCAGCAGGTGGCCAAGCCCTGGAACAGGGTTCCAGAGATGTGGTCAATGCCCCAGGCCTGTAAATGTTTCAGAGGCATTTGGACAACGCCCTCAATAACTTTTGGTCAGCCCAGAAGGGTTCAGGCAGCTGGACCCTTCCCATTGCAACTATTCCATTCTAGTCCAATTATGTCCACATTTTTAGTATCTTGCTCTGTCTTTCTGCACTTGAAAAAAAGCATGTTAAATGTACTGTTAGTAAATGTTTTCACTAAAAAGGCAGAAATCCTATGGCATACACAGATCTCTATCTACATCTCCAAAATTAATAAAATCTTAAAATATCCTGGCATCTTGCAGAGAGCCAATCTGGAAGCCTGCCCAACATGAACCAAGAGAGAGGAAGGAGAATAACACTGCTGACAATAAACTTCAAAATTGTTCACTATACAAAGAGCTAAAGATTTTTTATTTTTCCTTAATGCAGCCGTTGTTCCCACTAAACTCATTCCTATTACACATAAGTTGTTGGCACCCTTTCAATTGCTCCAGAACAACTTCCTGAAGCTGTGCAGGAAGCCAGTATAGAAACAAATGACCTGCCAGGTCACGGCAAAGCTATTCAAACAAAGGCACAACTGAGAGGGTCATAAGCAGGACACAAGGAGCAGGTCTGCTTAGTTCAACCCTGCTTTGGGACAAAATCATAAAAACAGTTCAAGAGATTATAAGTCTCTGATTCCACTGTAGAGATAGAAACAGATAATGGAATACCTCTTCAATTCAGAGTTTAGCTCTCAACCTATCTCCTCTTACAGTCTGTATTCATCCTTCCCTCCCAACTTCCCTCTATACACTTAATTCCTAGAAAAACCAGCCCATTGCAGTCCTCCTCATCTTTGGCTCCAGTTCCTCAACCTCACTGTCGTTTCCAACAAGCTGTTTCCTCCTTCCCCAGCAAACCTTGAGAGCTATCAAGAAACAGTATTAAGAATGGCAGAAACTAAACTCACTCTCCCATGCCTCAGTGACCTTTTGCCAACTCAGATGTGTCAGACACAACACTGCTTGGTGCTCTTATTATATTCCTGTTGGAAGGAATATGAAGAATTTAGCTACCAGAGCTCCCAGAAAAAAAAACAAAACAAAACAAAACAAAACAAAACCACATGGCTCCATGCTAAGAACACTTGTCCATTTTTTTTTCTTTTATTTTTTTTATCCCTCAAAGAAAAAAAAAATAAAATCTTGAAAATTTAGAAAAATTTAGCCTAAAATAGACACTAGACATGAAAAAAAGGAAGTCCTATGTTCAGTTCTGGCCAGTCTCTGGAGCGTGTCCAGGGACAGGCAATGGAGCTGGGGAGGGGTCTGGAGCACAAGTCCTGTGAGGAGCAGCAGAGGGAGCTGGGGGGGCTCAACCTGAAGAAAAGGAGGCTCAGGGGGGACCTTCTCACTCTCTGCAACTCCCTGACAGGAGGTTGTAGCCAGGTGGGGGTCAGGATAAGAGGATAAGAGGAAACATCCTCAAGCTGTGCCAGGGGAGGTTCAGGTTGGACATTAAGAAGAATTTCCTCATGGAAAGGGTGGTCAGGCATTGGAAGGGGCTGTCCAGGGGGGTGATGGCATCACCATCCCTGGAGCTGGTAAAGGAACAACTGGCACTCAGTGCTCTGGTCTAGTTGACAAGGTGGTGTTTGGTTAAAGGTTGGACTCGATGATCTTGGAGGTCTTTTCCAACTTTAATAATTCTATGATTACATGATTCTAAATTGGGTCAATTTCTCTGGATTTTGGCTAATTTCTACCAAAAAATGAATTTCAAATCTCTGCCAGCTCCAATCATATTTTAATCCTAGACAAATGCCAACTGTTCTAATTAAAAAAAACCTATTCATACCTTTTTAATTTTCAATTTTTCTTCTTCAGCAGTGCAAAGCTTGATTTCTAGGTTTGCAACAGCTTGTTGAAGGCAGCTCTTCGCTTCATTTGTTCTCTGTGTCTCAGCATCAATCAAAGCAGTGGCTGATGTAACTAAAGTCTTGCCTTCCATTACATTTGAAGAGGCGACTGGAATATCTGATGGAATCTAATCCACAGGAGAAAAGTGAGTAATCTCAGTACATCAGGTTTACAGGGAAACAAACTCTCCTTGGATAAGTCACTCCATGCTTTCACCCAATGCAGGCTGCAAACAGCAGTCACAGAAAGGGAATAAAAGGGTTTTTTAATCTCATCTTGAGGATAGATTAACAAAATAAGAGTAATTGGGAGATGTTTACAACATTTAGTTAATGCTATTTCAGTAAAGTGTAGAAGCACAAGAACTGAAACAGAGGTTTCTAGAATCCACAATGTAAACCAGATGAAACATTGATAATAAGTCTATATTTTCAGAAAAGCACAAAATAAATTAGGTGAGGTTCAAAATACTCTGTGGTATAATTAAAAAAAAATGCTTTTTTTTTCCCTCTTAAAAAAAAAAAATAAAAAGGAGGGGGCAAAAACTTGTTTATTTTGCAGCCAAGGAACTTCAAAGGAAAAAGCTGGTAAATTAATTCAGCTACCACTTTTTCAACAATTTGAAAGCCAAACACACTTGAGATTTGGGTAAGGGTGGTGGAAGGAACATCTCAATGTGTTTATTAAAGAGAGGTTTGATTGATCTGATTTAATCCACTTCCCTAACACCTTTTATCCCACTCAGATAATGTATTGACTTTTCAATAAATAACTATCTCTCAAATAATTCAAAGAAAGTAACAAACAAAAACAGCTGAGATCTTGACTGCACAGGAACACATAAGAAACTGCAGTTTGTGCTCTGAATTCTCCTTGGCAAAGAGAAGCCAAATGTGCTAATTCTATTTCCGAGTCCTAAAGATTAGAGTTTGGCATCGCCAAAAATTGTGAGTGTAGAACCTAAAATGGTGAAGTTTTTTTATTACATGAAACCTCAAGAGGCCCTGGAGATGCAGATATAAAAGAATACAGTTCTCCTAACATTCCCCTTGAACAGGTATAAGAATATTTTATTATAATTTTATGCCCACCATTTTCCTTCTTGTTTAATCCTAAGTGCAAAGTCTGATCTCTAAAATAATGTTAAAGGACATGCTCTCAACTCCTTTTCTCCCTTTAGTAAAACTTGTTAATATATTTTTTAGTCTGTACCATTTCCTGCACTAAAGAGAGACTTTATGGGACCATGGGTGTGTCAGTAGCTGAACAGAACAAGACAAGAAAAACTGAAACATGGCCTACAACTAGAATTTATACAAATACTTAGTCAGAAGTAAAAAAGTGTATTTCTTATTTTTCCGTAAGATTACCCAAGTAAGTTAATTTTTAGTTTTAAAAAATAAATCTTAGTATTCTGGAATATCCCAAGTGCTCTTTCCAGAGAACACAAAAGCTAAAATTGCTGGCCAAGCTCAAAGAAGAGAGGATGCAGGTTATTCACTGTTAGCCAAAATAAAAAAGGGTAGGACTAGGACCTGTGGTGGCTAAAGGAAAGCATATCATGGTCATTCTACCAGTAATAGAAATTTACTGATCCAAACTCTGTCAGAGAGGCAGAAGAAGAGCCTTCAACACAGAAAATTACTGTGGCTGGTATCAGTCAAAAAAAAATAAAATAAACACTCCTCCCTCTCAAGAAAAAAATCCACAACTTTTGGATTTCTAAGAAAATTTCTTTGACATCATTTGCATCTGGCCACATCTCTTTTTATAGGCTTTCCTCAGAACATTAGGTTGGGAACAAATACAAAACAGTAACTAATTCATTCCTAAGACTGGACAATTGGAGCTGTACCAGCCACAGTCTTTCTGGAAATGTAAACATACAGATGCTCCTCAAAGGAAAAAAAAAAAAAAGACTCAGTTTAAGCAAAACAAGTATTTTGTACAAGTTCTCTGTATAGTTCTAAAGAAATGCTTATACCTGGTCAGACAATGGAAATCTGACTTAATGGTGAAATTCAGTTTTCACCATGAGTAGCCCTAGACTTGATGAGACTACTTGAAGGATAAGAAACAAAGGAAGGTTTGCAAACTAGCCCAAAGTATTGATTAGTTCACAATGAGGCAAAAGCACTTTCTAATTCAAGTATGTACTACTATGCATCCTGAAACAAGGAAGTTTATAATCAATAAACTTGTTCAAACAGGTGCCACTGCAATCAGGGGCAATGACAGATTCACTTGAGAGGGTAAATCTATATAATTCTCATCTGCAGCAATCCAGCATTCCTCTGCTAATCTTCAGGCAAAACTTTTTTTTTCCCTTCCGTGTTCATATAATAGTTTAGTCAAAAGCTAAAACTTTTACCCCTAAAAAAGAAACAAAGATAATTTTTCAGCAGTAGTGCAGCCACAAGGAGAGATTAAGATTGCACAACTAGGATAATGTCAGATCACACAAAAAACATTAAAGAAACAACTTTCTTTAGTTGTTAATGGGGAAGTAATGGGGGAAAAATAACTTAAAATAAAATAAAAATAAATTTAATTATAAGTAAGTAAAGATTAAATGTTAATTCTCTAATCCTAAAGTCACAAGAAAATATACAAGTATGGTATATATTTACAGCTATAATCTTTACAGTTTTAACAGGAACAAACTTTTTTGAAAGAACCTTCCTAGTATTGTTTCCTACATGCATGCCTAGCACTATCAGCATGCCTGTAAGTTTTAATAACTCTAACACACTTGTCTCTCTTACAGTTCATACCAAAGCACAGTGCAGTGCCTCCCAGTTGTAGGTCTTATAAACAATTTTAAAATTATTTTACTTCAAAGCCTTCATCACAGAAATCCAAGGAGCTTTTGCCCTTAGAAGGCATTTCAACCTAAATGTGCACAGAAAAGATACAATGTTAACATATTAAATACATGAATTCCCATACTGAAGCTCAAAAGTTGTGGGTTTACCTGTTCTTCAAGAACAGCTGGATTTATCACGCTGCTGGCTGTTTGAACAGCTGTTGCCACATTATCACTTGACAAAATGAATGAGTCAGAAGAAGCCAGGCAGGAAGAAGGCACAGAGTGCTCCAGAAGAACATCAGGAGATCTGTGGACTTCAGGTACTAGAAATAGAAAGCACACACAATATGAAGAAGCACTCAAAAATTAACTGTTTCTGGAGTCTGTGCAACAAGTGTAGTCATACTAACGTAATGTTATGTACCTCATATAATCTAATTGCACTGAAGAATAATTCCATACAAAGTGGTTTTGAGCAGTATCAACTTGAGGACATTCAAAATCATAGTCACCCTAAATTTAGACTCGTAATTTACACAGAGGTTTTAGAAGACAACTGCTATCAAAAGGATCCATTTCAACTTTGTTTCTTTCAATTCACACAACCTTTCAGCTTCAGCATGATCTTTAATCAGTCTAAGTCAAGTGTAAAAACCATGCTTATAGTTTCCTAAGTTTCATAAATTCTGAAGTTAAAAAATCCCCAACTGTCTTAGAAGACACAAACAAACCAAGACACACTTAAAAAAACACTTACCAAGACACATGATAAAGCAGTTTTATATGTTATAAGATATAAAAAGATAACGAGGTAAATAACTCTCTAGCTAATAAAACTTCAGTGGAATTAATACTGGACTGAGAGCTCTTCCATACCAATTTCCAGTTATGCCATAAAAATCCTGAACAGTGGATCATCATTATCAACCCAGCACAACAGAAACTTGAGCACTCTTATGAAGGACATAAACTAAATTGACTAAATAAATAGAAAGGAGAAGAGAAAGCTTGGCATACATTTTTAATTTAACAGCAAAGTCCTGCTAACTTTGATACGTTCAGCTACAGGTGTGCCTTTGCAGAAGGCAAAAAAAGTATATGCAATTGTTTTAGGAAAAGCAGCTCATATCATCAGTACAACTCTGGTAAAATGTAGAAGATGCCCCTAGCCTGGACAAGGTTCAACCTCCCCATATCACTGTTGAATGCTGCACAAGTACACAGCACAAACATTGGCCTAAAGGACAATTCAAGAGGACACATCAATCTGTGGATCCAGTCCCATCTTCTTTACTCTCCAATTCTAGGATTCAGGTATAACATAGAGGAACATGCAAACCTCAGCTACTAAAAAGAAAGACAATGGACTGTGAGGCAGAAAAATATGAGTATGCTAATTGCAGTGATAGTAGATTGGGACATATGGCCAAAAAAAAAAAAAAAAACCATGGAGAAAAACCCCCAAAAATCACAGTGCAGCAGAAAATGGAAACTTGGCTGAAAGGCCTAGAGGACAGTACAGCAAACAGAAGAGGAACCAATTTCGGTAACCAGGACCGAAAAACAGATCTGAGACACAACTGCACCTTCAACAGAAAACTCTTCCTCAGAATTGGAAATGGGACTTTTTCAGCTTCCTTTATGCACTATATCAGTAAAACTCCCCTCCCAATCCAAATGTCTGCTTTTAAAGGCAGCTTCTCATAACAATTACCTACTCTGTTAGTTCAAGTGGCAGTGAAGTGACATAGATAATCTTTTTGTTTCTAAACAAACATTAAAGTCTCTGTTTTATGCTATCATTTAATACCCTGAATCTCAATTTTAAATCAATCCCCATTTGATGGAAAAACAACTAAAATAATGTACCAGGCAATTTCTCACTGAGCAGGCAAGCGATTCTCTTACTAAAACTGTCAACTCACATGGAAACCTGACATGACACTGTTCCTTTGGATGTCTGCGTTCACCCTTTAGTGAAGATCACCATAGCTCAGGCATAGTTCACATATAAATAATTTATCACAAAAGTAAAAACAGAAACTGAGACTGGGTACATATGAAAAATGGAGACTCACTGAAATTAAAACTTTTGGTATTCACATATTTTGGGGTACCCAATACCAGACATAAGACTCCATTTTTCAGGTAATAATCTGGAATCTTCTACAATCAAACTGAGCTTTCAGGGATTCTAGTTATAGTAATGAATGCTTGGCAACTTGATGGGAAAAAAAAGAAACAAAATCTCCACCTCTTAAGTTGTCAAAATGAAGTCTAGGAAATGAGGAGCAACAACTGGTGACCACCTCTGAACACTGGGGTTTAAAATTTTAAACTAAATACATGACCTTGCAGAAGACAAGAAAACGTGGCAACTCTCCATGGTATCAATCAAACATCTTTTTTACAAATCCTTCTTTTCATTTTTCAGCAATGTTAAATATTCGTAAATTAGACATTCCTAGAATTACACGTGCTACGGTTGTAATTCAAGCTCTCTTAATTCATTCCTCTTGTGTATATACTGGTGAATTGCAATTAGCATTTTAGTACAGCTCAAAATTCGCTTATAGAGTCGACCCCTAAGTCATTCCTGCTCACCACACCTTAAGTTACCAAAATGGAACAGTTTCACAACCCCTGAAACAAAAACTTGCCTCTGATGAAACTACCTGATTGACTCCAACAGCTACTGGGAGTTCAAGCCCACAGGACCAGGCTAACACCACTCTGAAACAACACCCCTGAAGCACATCCAACATGGATATTGGGTTTTCAGAACCACTTAAAGGATCCTCTCCTCCTCAGTGCTGCTCCACTGCTGTGACACACAGTCATTCTGATCATAACAACAAAATACTCTCACACAGTACCCTGCCCTGGTGTGATATATCTCCTCTAACTTCTTCAGTAAGCAAGTCAAAGTCTGATAGTCCTGAGGAAATTCCAAATAAACTTATTGTTCATCGGTCAAACTGGCCTCAGAAATAATCTCTGATTTCTGCCTGCACACTGAGAAATACTGCCACAGGCTTCAGTACTTTGGTTTGTAACTTAGAAACATCAGATATGTAGGAAAGTCATGAGATGAGTAATGTACTCCTCTTCCAGAGAGCTCACAACATCTTGTGTGTATATAATGGCATCACACCTCGAATTTATCAAAATCATCTCAATGGCACCATAATACATTTGAATTTTTCAGCAAACCTTACCGAGAAATTTCTGGGGTAAGACAAGAACATCTCATACATAAATAGCTTGGGCAGACAATGTAGTTATTTCTGTTACTAAAAACATTAATTTACAAGTCAATGCCTAAGAAGCATTTTGACCAAGACTATTAAAATCTTGCCTCTTGCAATAAATTAATTTATTCACAGCAACATTTGCATGAAAAAGTCATCTAAAGATTTTGCAGTAATAAAATATTCTGAATAAAGGTGTTTTTCTTTTAATTTTGACAAACTTAAAATACCTTGGTATAACTTACCTTAAGACTTCTCTGTCACTTACAATCATACAAAAAACTTCTGTGTTAGTACAAACAATTTGAATTCTACACATCTTATAAGATTTAAAATAGACTTCATGAGGCAGACACTGCACAGTTATATTGGATTTAATTTACTAAGCACATCCAAATATGCTATTGAATTTAAGACATAATAATAGTCAAAATGACAAGATGAATAATAAAGCTATTTGAAAAAATATAGTTTCATCATTATATGTTTTCCTTTATTTCAATGACACATAAAGGCAATTATTCTGTAACGGATGAAAGCCAGTAGTGCCAGAAATAAATCAATAAAAACATTCTAAGAACATGATTTATGGAGAACTCATATTGAGAAAAATTCGTGCCTTACTTTGTATAATTTATTCTGCATAATAATGCAATAGCAGGCACAAATCTTTAGTTCTTGAACAAATAATAAACTGTGTTGGTTTTCACCCTAATGCTGCTAAAGTGATGTTTGTCTTTGTGAAAACAGCAAAATCTAGACCACAACAAAATCAACTGCCAATCAGTAACATCTCCTCAGTCTTCTAGTTCTACTGATATTGTACATCAATGAACTTACACTGATTTCTTAAAATCCATATGGGCCACAGGCATTTGTATAAATTAATACAAGTAGCTCCATAATGTTTCTACTTCTTCTTGAGATAAAGGTTATGTAATATATTTTTTAACTTTATAAACTGCTTAAGTAAAAAAGACGATTCTCATCCATCCCTCCTTCCCCAAAGAACGTAGAAGACTCTATCATAGTCCTATTTTCAAGTTTACTTTTTGGGGTTTTTTTCCACAATTTGCAACAGATCTTCCACACACCAAAGTAAAGGATATCCTTTGAATAAAGAAGATCTGCTTCTTTTCAGCTGGATAAACTGTACTTCTCTTTCATTCCTCAATAAAACTTTACTTTGAGAAGTGCAGCTGCCCAAAATAATTATTCAGGAACATTCTCATGCTCAGCTTTTCACTTCTGGCTATTCTTTTATTGTGTATATACACCCTTCTGGGCACTAGTTTTTACAGTGAATACATAAGAACAGCAATACAATATTAAGATTTTTTTACAGTGATTTTATCAATACCTGTAGGAAATGCTGCCCAAGCAATAGCAGGGGATGTGGTCTGCTTTTCACCATTTCCAAACTCATAACTCTCTGCTGCCTAGGAACAAGAAGAAATTATTAGAAAAATTTTACAAAACATTTACAATCGTTTACAATCAATTTCCATATAAATAGTTAAAAATAAGCTTTTTTTCAAAATAAAGTAATTCAAATAACATACCTCAAATCCTCCAAAGTCATCATCATCCATCTTTCAACTGGTACTAGAATATAGAAGAAATGTTGATTTAAAAAGAGAAAAAAAAAAACATTATGTTGCTATATTGCCTTTACTTGTAAAATAGCAATAAAAGCTTTGCAAAACCAAAGGTATGGTGTTAGTTTTAAAGGACAGACTTGGGTAAAACAAGTCAGTGTGATCAAACCCTAAAAGCCCAGCAGTATGAAGCAATAGAGGGTTCCACACAGCAGGAAAGTGGGTATATTTCACTGGCCAGTCTTGCAAGAGAGATGTGCTGATTTTATAAACAACCAGCAGTCAAAAGACAAAATGACTTATCTATTTGTACTTCAGCTACATGACAGATGAAAAAAGACCTTCACTTGGATCCAACTGCTACCTTGCTCATCTATATGCTTTGCATAACCACCTCATCATCCACTCATTTAGAAGTGAATACAGTCCTTCACCCAAGTCCTCATCTCCACACATTACCCGAAATCTTCATAATTTACAAGTCCTACAACACACCAAGGGACCTAAATAAGAACTTTTTCACACAGAGGATGCAAGGGTTAGAACTGGAAGATCTCAGTTAAGAAGCTTTTTTTTTTTTAATGATCAAGTTAAATTGAAAAAAATGGGTATTTTATGATAGAATTTGACTGTCTTCAAGGGTAAACATAAGCAGTGCCCACTGTCAAACATCTTTTGAAAGCAAAAATGAAGGAAAAGCTTTCTAATATAAGAAAATAGAAAGATGGTCCTTTAAAAGCTATATCTACTGATCTCAAGTACAGCAGTCAAGTTCCCAGGACCTCACAAATGGTACTAAAATCAGCAAATATTCTAGTTTGGATATATATTAAAAAAAAAATGTCTAGGAAGCAGGATTCTGACCACCAGATTCCAAAATCAAGGGTTATCTTCATTCATGATGAAGACAAACCGATTTAATGCAAATATGATTTATCATGTATCTTGTATAATTCTGTGTTTCTGATTTAAAATATAAAAATATTTTCCATTGTGAAGTTGCTTTTCCAAATCAGCATTGTGATTAAATCCAAAAAGATTTCCTGCCTTTCCCATCTCTTCTTAGCTGTCTGGCAACATCAGAACAAACTGCAACTTGGAAAAAGACTGTGGTGAATTTCTGGAAATTCTTCTGCTACCACAGAGGTCCTTCCCTAGGTTTCATGGAGGGTCTGATTTAGATTTTACAAACTGATCAGCATTTTTGACTTGTAGCCCTGAATTCTGTGGCATTTTGATATATTTATAGTCAAATTGCAGTTCCTTTTACAAAAATGCGGGCTAAGTTACTCAGCTAATGAAAGTAACTCAAGATATACAAAGTTTTTCAAAGAAAGGTATTATATATTTAACTATACACTTATATATATATATATATATATATAAAATTCTGATATGTGAATGAAGGATGATCCAAAAAACCTTTATGGTCTTTACAGAATGTTAAAATGTTTATAAAACTAATTGACTTCAGTTAAAGCAGACTATAGGCTGGATAAACTTTTATTACTAAGGAAACACATGCTCAGAAACAGAAGAATTCAAAGGATCTGGAGGAAATCTCCAAATGGATGTATTAGAATGCCAGAAGGGGACACTTTCAGTTCACATCCACCGCTGAAATTCACTACCAAGACTGATTTCAATTCAAACATCTTCCAAAGCTTAACTAATTAATTCCCCAGTTCTCACTGATGAACTTAGAAGGCTTCAGGGTGATCCAACTGTGGCCTTCCAGGACCTGAAGGGAGCCCACAAGGAAGATGGAGAGAGA